GGGGGGGGGGGGGGGGGGCGTGCGGGAGAGGACTTCTCTTGTTTTGTCGTTCGTGTGTCGTTTTTTTTAGTTTCCCGTCGGGGATGATGGGATGCAATGGCGGCACGGTAAGGTAGTTGTCTTTTTATTTTACGCGCTGACTCTTCCCGGCCAGACCCGATCGATGCCCCGAGCCTAAGGAATGTAACAGCAGTGAGCGCAACACGCACTAAATAGATAGTTTCAGCCAACACCCTCCGTACCGGACAACACTCTGCGCTGTGTGCTTGACGACGTCTTCAGCTTGACGGAGAGTCCGGTGCTTTGGTCTGGGGGGAACAGTTCGGCTCAGGTGCAGACGACCAGGCCGTCGGTCTTGTGCTAGGGCCCGTGTCCTTCGCTGCGGGTGACGCTGTTGGATCGCTGGAGCAGGAGAAAGGCGGGGGCAGCCCCCTGTACTTGACGGGATGGACACGAGGGGCCCTGTTCTCGAAAGAGCCGGGTGAGTGTTTAGCTTCGGCTTGGGGCTTGGGTGGTGTAATGAAACGACGCTTGTATACATCATCGTTTTGGCTTGGGTTTTGGCTTTCCTCGCTGTGCTTCAGAAGCGTTGCCTTGTTTTTTTGTCCTCCTCTTCAAGGTGCACGGGAAACCGGGTAGCTGCTTGTTGCTGCCGACAGCAGCAGTAGATTGCGATATCCTTCCTTGTGCCTTCAGCACGGACATGATCATCCCAGAACCTGTGCGGTGCATCGCACTCTCCATTTCAACCAACGATACGGTGGTGGTTCGCTCTTGTCTTGTCGGCGCGAACATTGATTTGTTGATGCCATCACCGCCGCCTCATAATGTATCTAGGAGATGGTCCCGATATGACCGTGCTTTCGTGCGCGGTGGGCGTTGCCAAGCGCGCAAGTGGTGAAATTCCCGCCGTTACAAATGTAGCCAAGCTAAGTTTGGCCAAGTTTCAAGCACGCAAGATTCCATCACTCCTTGCAGGAGTACTTCTCCATCGTGCCATGGCACTGGCAACCCTTTGACTACCCCATGCACACACGCCCTCTCTTTTTGACCCAACTCGGCAGCGCGTTGGCAGGACGGGTGGGCCGTCAAACTCCCCAACCCCCCGCCGTCAACGCTCGGGGTTGCCGACACCGGTGCCTGGGAAAAGCCTTTGCCGGTGCCGATCGGCTCGGGGGCAGCGGAGGCCCAGCAGGCTGCGGCAGAGCGGGGAGCGGTAACGGCCGGCCTTGTCGGGACCGTGACGGGGATGTTGGTGGTGGTGTCCATATGCCTCTACTTCGTGCTTCGTAAGGCCAACATGACTGGCGGAGGTGTGTGCGTGTGCGTGCGGTGTCCTCCTCGTCTTGTTTTGTTTTTTGTTCTTGGGGGCGGGCACTGCTGTGTGCCAGACCTTGTTTGTTTTCGGGGGGGTCGAGTGTGAAGGAAGGCTGTTCAGCAAGAAGTCGTGGGCCCTCTGTTGGGCAGGCACTAAATAGGTGCCAGGCCGGTTCGATTCAGCCGCCTTGAGACAACATAATTATGCTATCTGTGCCAAGAGACAAGAGTTTCCATCCGCCCTGTACGAGCCACGACTACTGCTGTACCGGGCAGGAGGTTTGGAAAATACCGGTGAAAATGGATTAGAGAACAGCTGAACCCTTTACTTGCTCCGTCCATGCCCAGTACGCACACCAAGTACCCGCGGCTTGATCGACACGACAGAGTCGGCCGGCGACAGGTGGAAGCGTCCTCCGGTGCTCGTGCACGACAGGCACGTACGTACGTACGATAAAACTCCCCCTTGCCCACGCGCGATCATGTTGCCCCTTCCGCGCACATTCAATCTTTCTCGCGCAGCGCTGTCGGCACCACGCTACGACTCGGTGAAAGATCTGGACCCGACCAAGGGCATGTTTCGAAGACGCGGCCGCCCCATGCTCCACGACAGCGGAGGGAAAGGTCAGGGAGGTGGCGGAAAAGCTCAGGACGGTGTGGAGCTGACGCTGCTTTCTGAAGGAGGGGATGGCGGGCGCTCATCCCCGCTCGCTAGCCGCAGTGGTAGCGGAGGCGGGAGCGGGGGCTCGGGGGCTATCGGCGGAAAGAGAGATACCAACCCGCCGCCTAGCGGGCAACAGGCAACATTTTATCTTTGATGGCTTCTTTTTTTTCCTTGTCTCATGCCGTCGTTCCCCTATACATGCACCTTGTTTGACTCTTTGAAAAATCGTTTTCGGTATTGGTGGGAGTGATCGTGCTTGGGGTGGGTACTGTTTCTTTGGTATACCATCTCTTTGATGCTAGACTTGACGTCACGCAACACGATTGACGAATCCGGGCGAGGGCACTCAAAACGAGAGAGACAGGGAGACCGAATTCCACGAGAATAGAGTCAAGTCTTGGAAATACAGTAGTTGACTCTGGTATTTTTCTGTCGTCCCGTGTGTTTATTTCAGTGCTGAAACAGGATTAGACTAAGGTGTGCGTCGGCAAGTCGAAGAGGAAAGGGGTCTTGTCCCACCGCGAGTCGCCTTGCGAAATCCGACGACTTTCGTCGCTAGCCCGTGCCATAGTTTTTTTACGACCAGCGCTCGGGCCCGCCCCCTGCCCCAGCACAAGGTATGTATAGTCTAGTCCCTTCGGGGGTGGTGATGATGCTGATGATGGTAAGGCGGCGGGCGTTCAAAGGTTTCCCGTTGTTCTCGCCGAACAGATAGCGTAAATTTGTGGTTTCTCGGAAGACGAAGGCTGGTCGGCGCATCTACGACAGTGTCGCCGTAGATCCCACCCGATAATTTTTAATTTAAGGGTTTCTCCTAGTTTTGAGGCTTCTCCTTGCTAGACGAGAGGGGAGGGAATGCCTCCACTCCCTAAATAGTCGAAACTGTTTTCGTATCGACCAGCTGTATTTGTAGCACGGGTATTTTGTGTATCTGCGATGCGCGGACGGGCGGAGTTACAGATCGAAGCAAGCCCATTGGACGGGGAACGTGCACCCCCACAACCTTTTCGTGTGAAAAATTGATGGATGAGTCAGGAGGTGACCACTCTCTCGGTCATCCATCCGTCTCTGTGGCGAAGGTCAGCAGGGTGTTTGCTGGCAAGTGTGACCTGCGAGGCGTGTCTCGGTGCCTGCTTGCTATTATGAGTCTTGTTAGACGGTGAGCGGTGCGAAAGACCGCACGGCAGTATCCCACGAAATTGCTATTTGTTAGTAGTATAGTTTTTTTCTGGACGTACGTGAGATTTTCCACGTTGCTTCGGCAGTCAAGTTTGTCGAAACTGCTATGCATACATGCATGAAATACCTAATCAGCTTAGCAGCAGGTATTTGTATGTCCGTGTTTTCATTGGCATGCTCTTGTTTTGCAGCCCTTTACACGGTTTGCCCCTTTCTGCTGGCGCATTTCCCCTGTTATTTCCCCCCCCGAAGGCTGACCATTGGTTGAGAGACTGCTTGTGGTTCGTCGTCTTCGCTGATCTTCTACAGTTGTGCGGCACGGCCTTGCCGCTACATCTGGCATTGTAGTTCGTCCTTTTCTTTTGATCCGTCAGCGTGTCACGCCTTTTCCCCAAAAGCAATGGTTTTAGATTTCCCGGCTTGTGCATCCAGAAATTGTACCGAAAGGGGTAAGGACAGACGTCCAGAGGAAATAGCATGAAAAAAAAAAAATGTGAGCTGCCGATATTTATTTCGAACATCGCGGAGCGTGTGAAACGGTGAACCGTGCCATAACGTCTCGTTGGAATATTACCGTTTGACGTATGAAAAGACTTGCTGACTCCACTTCTCCGATCAATTCAGACGTAAAGGCTTTCCTTGTGAGTTGCGTTTGGGAGGCATGCGACCCCCTTGTCTTCGACCGCTGCTATCGCGGGCTGTAGCTGCCGGATGTACACGTGCAAGCAACGTAAAGCTGCCGAGAGATCACAGCATCGAAAACAAACAAAAAAGCGTGTTGCACGCTTCGAGAAATTTACAAGTGCGTATGTGCGAGCTGCAACAGTAGCAGGCGAAAACACAACTGCAACAGCAGCACGTGTAGGCATCGCCAAGTGACACGTCAACCCAACGCCGACACCGCAGCAGCAGCGTGCGCGCGTGTTGTGTCAGTGGCAAGAGACGACACGGTACGGTACGGTGGACGCCATCGTGACCCGCCAGAGTATTACACGTCATTGCCTGGTCGAAAACCAAGTAAAGACGGCCAGGGCAAAGTCAACGTCTGGCTCGACATTACAACGCTCTTCGATTGTTTCCATGTCTCGGCGGTGTGGGTTGCCGTTGCTGAGCATCAAAAACGTATACTTCAAAGCTCCCTCAACCAATACCCGCCCCTCAAGACGGCACGTTCCAAACGAAATCATGGTGCCCTTCACATGAAAAATCCCACATTGCCTTATGTAAATACAACGACCGAGGCTGTCTGTCCTGCAACACACCCGCATGGCCTTTGGAAAAAGCACCATGAGTGGGTCGAGGAAAGTCCTGCTATATATACAAGGGGCCATGACGCACCCGAAAAGTGGAACGTTCCGGGTCATCTTCTTCGTCCCGTCAGTGACAGACCCGCGAAAATCGGCAACTCGATAGGCAACAAGAATGAGAGATGAGCAGAAACAGACCGAGCTTGGTAAACTGCTTCGGAACTGGGGGAAGGTCACCCGAAAAAAATGGAGAACAAACGCACGCTGCTAGATGTAGTGATGACGTAGTACCCGGCTGGCATC